TAATAATAATAATAATAATAATAATAATAATAATAATAATAATAATAATAAAGTTGGAAGGGACCTTGGAGGTCATCTAGTCCAACCCCCTGCTCAGGCAGGAAACCCTATACCATTTCAGACAAATGGCTGTCCAATCTCTTCTTAAAAACCTCCAGTGTTGGAGCATTCACCGCTTCTGGAGGCAGGTTGTTCCACTAAATGAAGCTGCCTAAGCAGGGCATTAAAATGCAAATAAATACCAAAAGCTCCACAGGTAGCCCTCAATAATTCGTTTAGTGGCTGTTCAAAGTTACAACGGCACTGAAAAATGTGACTTACGACCGTTTTTCTCACTTATGACCGTTGCAGCATCCTCGTAGTCACGTGATCAAAATTCAGACGCTTGGCAACTGACTCATATTTACAACGGTTGCAGTGTCCTGGGGTCATGTGATCCCCTTTTACGACTATCTAACAAAGTCAATGGGGAAGCTGGATTGACTTAACAACCATGTTACTAGCTTAACAATGGACTATCTGTATATGACTTTTTTTTTTTTTTACAAAACTTTACGATTTTTTTCAGCTTTTTGCCTACCTGAGTTGCATTCCTCAAGACTTTTTTATAACATGCATTTTTTTCACATAATGGGGGACATGCTTTAAACATTTAGCCTGCGTCTAGTTTATTATACAAATAATGTTTCGAATCCTCCCATTGGGATCCCTTTTCAAATAAATCTGCTTTCTAAGATTCTGGACAAATGCAAAGGTTTCATTGTTGGGATCCAAGGCATGTATACAAAGGAGAATAAATCAGAATAGATCAGAAGGTGCTAGAAATATAAATGCTGAACAGCAACAATATCAAATTATGCAGAGGACAGCTAAAAAAACGACCAAGCTTCTAAATTCCTGAGCTATCAAATAGCTGAAATTAGTCCTAAATCTTGCAGAGGGAGTCACTGATAAATCCTAACCGCTGTCTGGTTAGAAAATAGGGATTAACACTTCTTAGAAGTTAAAATTTAAACCTTTGAGAGCTAAAAATAGTTATTTCAGATTATGGTATTGAAACGGTTTAGAAGCCTCAGCATGGACACACACCTGTGTAATTGCAA